GCTGGATAGTGGTTTCTTTAGGAATATTTTTTTTAAAAAATAGAAAAGAAAAAAGATAGGCTGAAAATAGATTACTTTGCTGTGAAATTATTTTTGCATTTTGCAATAATATGTACATCACTTTATTCCATATTAAGCTCGCATACACACGCACGCATACATATATATCTTATTATTATTAAAGTTTCGTCAAAGTTTTCACTCAATCTCTGACGAAGCTTTAATAGAAGTGAAACATGTTAAATTGATAAACATTTCCTATTTGTTTTTTATTTTATCATTCTGACGGATTCAGAACCGTATTTGATCTACGTTTGAACTTTAACTTAATATATATATATATATATATATATATATATATGGGGGGAGGGGGGTGTTAAAAGTGGCAGTAAGCGATCAAGGCAAAGAGAAGCAGGGACCATCTCTTAATAGATGCGGAGATATGGTGAAAGCGTCTTTTATTGCCTCTGAATTACACACTCTAAGGCTAACAGAACTATTTGTACTGCTATTAGCGTGCTAAATATGAAAATCGTGTCATTTGACGGCACTTTCAAGGCTAAAGCCACACAATCCATTATCGTACAAGGACAAGCGATGAAGAAAACCTTGTGTACGTACGAGTGCGCACAAGTGTTAGTCGTGCACATGCAAGAGAGAGAGAGAGAATGAGTGCGCGTGTGGGTGTGTAGGTGTGGGGATGCTTCCGCCTTTGTGTACAAGTGTATTGGTTGCTTTTCGACCTGTTTCAAATCGACATAGCAAACGTGCGATTTGCAATAATAAAAGTACGGACGGTGGAAGAATGACAAAGAATGCAATATTTGCGCGTACAACTCTCTCGTAAGAGTCAAGTATTGGAATCTAAGAGGTTCCAGTTTAAGCATTTTAAAAACTAGAAAATATCATTATATATTTCAAACCATATATATATATATATATATATATATACCCACATTCCCTTAATATATATATATATATAGTATGGAGGAATATGTTTGACACTAGGTGAATTTTGATCTGAAATTTCTTGTATAATGTAAGAGTAACAAACACTATTGATTTGCATGCTTTGACAAAGAAAGAGATTATGTTAAAAAGATATATTTGTTGTGTGAAAGAAATGCTTTTCTCATCTTAAAGCTACTGATTTATTGATGTACATACAGATGTGTGTGTGTGTGTATGTGTGTACGTGTGTATGCGCGTACGGCCTGTTTGTATACGCGAATGCCGTGTGTGTATGCGTATGTAAACATCGATTTCTTTTATCGGCAAACGATTTACTTGAAATTATTTAATCATACATACGAAGTGGTTTCCTCCACATACACAGCTGACAAAGCGCTCGACCCGAACAAGAAAGGATTTCAAAATAAATTCTGCCGTTTGGGCATTTTTGTCATTCATACATATATAATTTTATTACTGCCAACACTCACTGTGGGGTTTATATATATATATATATATATATATATATATATATATATATATATATATATATATATATATATATATATATATATATATATATATACGATTAAATCAGGAAGAAATTGAATAATTTGAGAATTTTTCTACATAAAGTTTCTGGTGAAATTAAATAAATACCGAAAGATTATAAATTTATAAAGATTTTCCTCCTTGTTACTTTTTTTTTTTTTAAACATTCTGTCGTATTTAATGTCTATATATAGTTACACTACGTGTGTGTAGTATGTATGTGTGTGCGCATGTTGGTTTTCAGGAAATATCTGCAATGATCTTTACACACAATAGCATAGGACAAAAATGACCACCTCCAATAAAAATCCACTTGTGGAGGATAGAATATCGACATAGGCCATTTTTACTATTCGGGCGACATACTATAATGAACGCATATCTCAAAAGAGATGGCTGATGTACTCAATTTTGGCCAGTATTTGAGCCCAGAACGCTAATTTTCAGAGTAAGCAGTCATTTTCATCTTAGAAACATGGCGCACCATAATCTTCTTATTCCTCTTTTTCTTCGTTTGTCCTTGGGTCAGACTAAATCTTTTAAGTATCCAAGCATATATAGAATAAAATTATTTTTCTTGTAGAGAACATGAAAGAAAAATGTTTTTTTCCTCTTTCACTATTTTCAGTAGCGAATATTTTAAACCAGTAACATTTTTAAATGGAGCGCTAAAAAGAATAAAAACTTTTGAAAGGATACGATCATTTTTGATTTGTTAAATGATTAGTAAGTTAATGAATTATTTAGTTTTGTTCGGCCTGCTGCTAGTGTTTGATCTTTCTAAGAAGTCACCGATCGTCATTAGTGATACAGTTTCACGATGCTTAACTACTCAATCAAACGAGAACCATTGTTTACAGCCTGATTTGAACGTAACACTTTTTGAAGCGCTCATTCATTCTAATCAAATGTCTAAAATATAAATCACCTGTCTCTTTTCCCGAAATGCTACAAATGATGGTGTGCACATGCGCAACAGTATAAGCGCGTGCGCGCACAAACATACGCATCGATAGATAGATAGATAGATAGATAGATAGATAGATAGATAGATAGATAGAGAGAGAGAGAGAGAGAGAGAGAGAGAAAGAAAGAGAGAGAGAGAGAGAGAGAGAGAGAGAGAGAGAGATTGTGATGCATTCAGAAATATGTATTTATAAATCATTGATTATTTGAGCCTATCTTTTCGCCCGTCAATCTGTTCAACACGTAAACTACCATAGTGTGTCAAACACGGTTTTAAGACAAAACGGGAACGGAGACACGCAACATTTGAACGTCGTAAATTGTTTTACTTTTGCAGATTTTCCTTCCATTCTTTTTTTTTGCGTCTTTATTATAGTCTTCTTATCAGTTAGTTTTACACTTTTTTTTCCTTCTTTTTCATTTCCTTTTCTTTCTTTTTTTTTTCCTTTTGATTTTCTATCTTTCAGTTTCCCTGTACAAAGACATCATCTTTTCTACCACTGATCCTGACAATCATTAAGACCGCTGGGGCCTTTTGAAATGAATAAACATATGCAACCTGTCGCTCTGTATTCCAAGCTAGATCTATTTACAAATTCTTTCTTCTTTTCTTTTCTTTGATTCACTCTTTTTTAAAAAATTTTCATTTGGCACTATAAAGAACCTTGAAAAATTCCTATATTTTTTCCTTTTACCCTAATTAAGTGTTCATTCGAATGATTTTACGAAAATCAAAAAAAAACTAAGCCACATAAGTTCGTTATGACATAATTTCATTTTTTTCTCTTTCTTTCTACACACACACGCACATATATTTATATATAGGGAAATAAATTTCTCTCTCTCTCGCTCTCTCTCTCTATAGAGAGAGAGAGAGAGAGTTGGAACATAGGAATCAATACTACTGGATGACTGTCAGTTTCATAAAAGCTTTATACCTGTTTCCTCATAAATATAACAACTTTTAAACTATAGGTGCAGTTTATCAGGTAAAAAGGGGAAAAACGTCTCCCACAAAAGAATGAATTGAATATTAAATCTAGCTAACCAAAAAGTAAATGCTTTTATTAATTTTCTAATGAATGAATATACAATAATGTATCTTTTCACAGTCTATTATAATCGATACTAATCGATCTAACTACATTTCTTTCTTGGTAAAATGGTCGCATTTTCTACTTTTGTTCCAATCGGTATTCATCTGGGGCTCCAAATAGGTGACCCATACCAATGTTGCTGCCGACCTGGCAATAAAATTATGAAAATGTATCAGTTTGCTATATATTTCATATTGTTTTAATTTTTAATCTAGGCGAATTCTTTATATGGTTTCGCTAGTTTAAACCTTAGTCCCGATGAACTTCGTAGCTTAAATCTAACACAGAACTGCAACAGTAGACGATCTAGTAAGGCTTGACCTCACAATAATATCTGTTTTCTGGGACTAGCTTATTAAGAGCCCTTCTAATAAGTGTACGTATTTAAACGTGTAAATGAATATTCGTGTTTTCATTTTCACAACCCTACTACTGAAAAAAGTCATTCTTACATAAGGATATCTACAAAACACACCTGCTGGTTTGAAATCGTATGTTCGTGGTTGAAAAGCATGGTTAAAGAATACGGCTGATTGCAAGCACGTGCTTGCAAATATTTTATCAGAAGCTTTGTGAAGGAATTCTCTTTTAATGTTATGCACGTCTTGTTTCTTTCATAGACTCCCTCTCTCTCCCTCTTTTTTTTTTTTTTTTTTTTTTTCCTCTTTCGTTCGCTCGTTTTTGTTTGCTTATCTACTGACCCGGCTTTTTCATTGGGAGGAACGTACATCCTCGATTTAAAATTGTTACATCTTATTCTTACTCCACTCAATATTTTTTTTTTTTTTTTTTTTGGCAACAATCCTCCAGGCCAAAAAACGTCATCGAAGAGCTTTTTTTTTTTTGAGATTACAAACTTTGCATTTTTTGGTTGATTTCTCTTTTTCATTCGTTCTTTCTCTCCGTGTATGCCTGCCCCCAATACACACACTGTTTCTCTTTTTTCTTTTCATATATTGTCATTCTCGTTCATTTCGTTTTCCTCTTCCACTTTTCTTCTTTTTCTCTTTCCTATTCGTTCTTTTTTTTTATTCTTAAACCATAATGTTCTTCCTTCTTGGAAATCTTTTTTCCATTTTGTCTCCCTCTAAACACAGTTAATTCTTTCTATTACCAAGTTAATTTTTCCTTTTATTCCTTCTTTTTTTTCTATTTTCATTCATGAATTTTACTTATTCTGAATTATTATTCTAATCTAACGTCAGTCATTCTTGCCTTTTTCATTCATTCATTTTCTTCTCAGTGACTTTTTAAACGATATTTCACTCTTTAAATGTCTTTCTTTCGCTCTAATCTCTTCTTTCTTTCACTCTCTTTTTTAATTTCTTTCCTTCTTCCACTCTGCTTTTCTTTTTTTCTTTCTTTTTTCGTTGCAGCTTCGTAATTCTTTGCAATAGCAGTAGCGACACAACATCCACAGCAGCGTTCATGTGTTTAAATGTAACCATCACTGACGGTAATGGGAAAATGAGAAATGTGATCAGCAAGGGAGTTGAAAAGAAGAAGGAAGATGATAGCAAAGAGGGTGAGAAGCGTAGAAAAGCGGAAAGAGAAAGGAAAGAAAGGGTGAGGAAAAAAAGAAGAGGAAAAGAAAAGCAAAAGAGTTGGAAACGAAAGGAGAAGACAATCCGAAACTGATAAGAAAGAGAGAATTAAGTGAAAGCCGAGGTCGTGGTGGGGTCGATAGCTGAGGTCGTGATGAGGATATTTAAACCAGGTCAGTTCAGTTCAAGAATAAACACGTGACCTTGCTAATGCTTTTCTCCCCATGACGAAATGGGCGCATGTAAATCGTAGAACATCGAAATTAGATGAAAGAAGGAAAAATAAAACATTATAGAAAGGTGAGAAGAATGGGAAAAATGAAGAGAGAAATAGAACAAAGAGAAGATAGAACAATATATGAAAAAGAGAGCGGGGAAGAGAGAGAGAGGCATGGAAAAAAGAGATGCAATATCAAGACAATGGGAGAAAAAGAAGATAGAAAAGAGAGAGAGAGAGAGAGAGAGAGAGAGAGAGAAAGAGGAAATAAACTTATGGGAGGAAATATTGGAAGGAAAGAAAGAAAGATGAAAGAAAGAAAGAGGAAAAAAGAAAGATGATATCGTTTAAGAAATTCATAGCAGGAATAATCATTTTCTTCCTCCCCCCCCTTTAACCTCCATTTCTTTTTCGCATTTGTTATTGAAGGAATTACATAATTATATAAATCCTTTGTTTGATATACCCGCGCCCTATTTCCCTACCCCTGACAACTTTGGCAAGCCATTAATTTAAGAAAAAGAAAGAGAAACGTCCTTTAAAAAATGAATAAGCGAAAGAAAGACGAAATGGAACGAATGAATTCACAAAATAAAAGACGAATGAAATTAGATATAATTATAGAACGAACAAACGAAAGATTACTAGCGAGAGAGAGAGAGTGAGAGAGAGAGAGAGAGTGAGAGAGAGAGTGAGAGAGAGAGAGAGAGAGAGAGTGAGAGAGAGATAAGAATTTATTCAATGTCGACAATGATCACGATGATGATAAACCTAACCCAGAATTAACTAGAGCAGAAGTGTTTACAAAAGGAGGCACCTTTTCGTCGTCCTCCTCCTCCTCGTCCTCCTCCTCCCATAACCAATTCTCTACTCACCCTTCAACTCGTTCTATTTCTTTTTTCATCGATTACCTACTTTCTTCGTCCTTTGTAAAAAGAAAACTAAAAACAAAAGCAAAAACAACAGCAGCACTTATTTGCTCTCTTCTTTAGTTTAATTTTCTTTTTCGTACTCTTCATGAAAACCTATATATATATATATATATATATATATATATATATATATATATATATATATATATATATATATATCTGTTATGTCATTAAATATTAACAATGATTCAATAATATTTTGTTATTTTCGCTATTTCTTTTCTTCTTTGCCACATTCTTTTTTGTTCTTTTAAATTGATTTTCAAAGCTTTTCTGCTCGGCGGTTGTTTACTTTCTTTAACAAATCTCGTCACTGAATTCAACAAAATCTGACATTTTTTTTTTCTTCAGAATTCTTTCGTACATTCTTTCTTTGCATATTTTTATGAAAGCGCATCTTTTTCTCTGATTCGTTCTATTTTTGAAAATTGTCTCCCTACTAAAAAAATAAATAAAATAAAATAAATAACAAATAAAAAATAATCACTGTGGGTTTTTAATTCATTCTTTAATGTCATTTTTTCTTTCTTCCTTATGAGGCAACAATTCTTACCGCCCCTCTCTTTAAATACTTCATTCTTTTGAATTATGTCAAAAAGTAATTGCAAGTGAGTGTGTGTATGTGTGTGCGTGAGAAACATATAGATAGGTAAACAGAAGAAATATTAATATGACAATATTAATATATAAATTTTAGAACCCATATATACAGATACATGTTTTTGTGTGTGTTTGCATGGAAAAAATATCTACGTACATAAGTAATTTTTCGGAAAAAAAGAAAAGTAAAAATGCTCGTAGATTATCAATATTTAATTAAAAAACATATATTTTACTTATTCTCATAAAGAAAGTGGCAATATATCGAATCTATTTTGGAAAGTTATTAAATAAATACGCATTAAAAAAAAAAACAAAAAAAAAAAACAAAAAACGCATCCATATGAGAGCGTGAGTGTGGCAATTCCAAAACACGAATCCCCACCTCCACACGCATGTTTACCCGGCATCTCTTTGTAATCATCCACTCACTGTTACACGAGTTCATTTTATTCTGTTCTTTATTGATTTTCTTATTTGGTTAAGTTCACGTTCATTATTAATGTTCTGATGATGGTATCAATAAACATCGAAATATAGGACATAGCATTTGTAAGCACACACACACACACACATATATATATATATATATATATATATATATATATATATATATATGGGGGGGGACAAGTGAAAGTTTGTTGTTTAATTTCATTTTTTTTTACGGTTCGGACCGTTTTCTTTTCTGGTTCCTGAGGAAAACTAAGTATGTCAAAGAAAACACACAATGCATATACAATCCTATCAGCACTAAAATAAAACTTCATGATAATGGGCAATAAAAGCTGAAAGCGCTCAGAAGACAATTTATGTTCAAGTTCTACCCGGAAATTAGAAAAATGCTCCGAATCGCAGAAAAATGAAGTAAAAGTTTTTCATTGGTCTTCAATCAAAGCTTAACACACACACACACACACACACACACACACACATATATATATATATATATATAGCGTAGCTTAGATGTGGCACAAGGCCGAAAGTATGAGGCACCCAGTGAGGATCGAACTCACTACTCAGTCGTAATTGCGAGACAAGCTTGTTAACCATTACACCGACTCGAGGTGCCCCCACTCATATATATGTTAGAGTGAGTATGTGCGTATGCATAACTGTATATGTGTGTGTATGTGTTCATTCTAATTTCCTACATATTTTATACGCAGTATGTACAAAATTATTTGCGAAAGGTCTTGTTCCGTTGATTTCTTTATACATACCTGCATAAATACACACACAAGCATACATACGCAGATAGATAGATAGATAGATAGATAGATAGATAGATAGATAGATAGATAGATAGATAGATATTAGACTTTTCTGGCATAAGAATCTATGGAGAGTTCAAAAACTATGTTGTGCAAAAGATGAACGAATCGGCATGCCTTGAACATCAGTAGTAGACATTCTAGTTTGAACTCTGACCCCCACCACTAGAAGTTACCTTTGCATACTTAAATATACTCATATAAAGTTTGGGAAGAGTATAGGTAAGTATATACACCACTTCTTTCTTGTGTATATTATAAAGTTAATGTTTACCTCTGGCGTAGGGGTATGTTACTTAAGCTGTAACTGTGGATAATAACATTTAAATGGTTTAATCCCAAGTTAAATGATTAACTACATATATGTAGTTGTGTTCGTGTATATCGCATAGGTATATCATATATGGGATTGCTTTTTGGCCCAAATAATCTGCCAGTGCCAGTGGTCAATGATCAAGGTAACGCCCCGGGGTTCGAACACTGATTTTCAAGGTAGGCAAGCCCTCCTTATTTAACAGATGAGTGTGACAAAATTTTAGTGTCTCCAGTTGAACCTGTACCTAAAAAGGTTATTTGTGACTACATTTTATTCTTACCTTAGAGATCGATATGAACAAGGTTCGATTTTAATAGGATACGCTACAATTGCAGTCCCGATCTAGGCTACTCTTATAATAAATTTTGACACTTTCACTGTAATGTGGAACCTGCATTGTAGAGAGAGAGAGAGAGAGAGAGAGAGAGAGAGAGAGAGAGAGAGAGAGAGAGAGAGAGTGATAGATGCGCAATAATGTCGCAACCCATTGATAAGTGAATCGGTGCCCAGCTATTGGTGGTACTGTGCCTGACTGAAATGATTGTTACACATGTGAACATACACTGTTCACGTCTATGCACACACCAATAAGGTGTGAGGAGGATTGTAATGGTTCTGTAATAAATAATTTTAGATAACACTAACAGCGAAATATAACCTTTTTGCTATTCACATATTGTAACACACATACACATAAACACACACACACACACATACACAGATGTACAAATACATACTTAGATGCCTCACCACACTTAACATGCGTGGTGGGTGGGGATCATTTTCCTTTCAAGGTCTTTTTTCATTCGCTGTTAGTGTTGTTGTTGTTGTTGTTATTATTATTATTATTATTATTATTATTATTATTATTATTATTAACCCTTTCTTTTCTTACGAGACACAAAATTATCTTTCAATCTTCTTCTTAACCATAGAATCCATTATTTTCTTTTTGGTAGTTTTACTGGTAGCATTTTATTTTGGTCTCTTTCTCTCAGTCTCTCTCTCTCTCTCTCTCTCTCTATTATTGAGTGATTTTTTTTTGTCTTTTTCGGAGTCGTGCTCCTATTTCTTTAGTAATAGGAGAAGGAGGAGGACGAGGAGGACGAGGAGGAGGAGGCATAAGAAGCAAGGAAACTACTGTTTATAGTAGTAGCAGGATCCATCGTAGTAACAGACGAAGAAACAGAATGAAAAGAGGAAAATTGAATGATAAGAAGAGAGTGACATGGGGGAAGGTGAAATAAAGAACTAGTGAGTGGAATATAAGACCAATAGAAAATTAGAGGCAAAAAGAGAAAGACAGTAACTAAGGTTTGTGGGGACGAAGCAAACAAGAGACAAACGTGGGTTGATTTCATCTCCAAGAAAAAGTGTACACACAAACACACACACACACACACACACACACACACACGCACAAAAGACATTAAAGGACCTCTTGCATTTAGAATATAAACATTTTTACGGTAAGTCTTACAGAATTATTTATTTTGTCGATAAACTGACTGTGCTATGCAAAGACCAAAAAAGAATTACTTTTTAAAAAAAATAATTGCTCATTTGTATGTATTTTTGGTCAAATTGTTCATGTATTGTTTTTGCTGTTATTATCCTATCATCTTTACTTTACTTTCTTTCTTTCTTTCTTTCTTTTTTTGCTTTTATTGCAACTTGCTCCAGTTTCCATGCACACGTGTTTCGATCGTGATCTCTTTTGAAAATTGTTTGGTAAGACCACACTTAACAACAGATTGCAATACATAACTAACTGAACACTACCAACACACAAACCTTACAGTACACTGACAAAAAAAAAAAAAAAAAAGAAAAAAAAGACGAAAACGTGCATAGCATACCTCACGTACGAAAAACGGTTCATTCTACACATACGGTCTTGTATGTTTTCCTGTTGCTGCGTACACACGTTTGTGTAAAATGTGTACTCACACAAAAAATACAGGTATTTATTTACACAAAAAATTATTCGCATGCTCTTGTACTTGCTTCTGAAAAATCAAACTGATTCTTATTTGCAATGTATTGTAAGGTAAAACAGATTTCTGACAACGTATGTATAGATCACATACAGATGCAACTTTACACGTGTATACAAATTATGTAGTTTTCCGTTATTATTGCGTTGAACGATAGAAATAACTATATATATATATATTACACAAACGCTCATACACACAAACGTTCATACACACAAACGGTCATACACACACAAATGAAAATATGGAAAAAGAAAGAAAAGAAAAAAGAAAAGAAGAAATGTTTCCTCTCTCATACATTTTCAACCAATGGCATTACATCTCCAATATAAAATTTACAGGCACTCTCTTAATAGGACATGCACTCACGCAATGACATATTTTTGTACGAAACAGGTAGATACATTTAGCAGCCGAACAACAAATCCATACACATTATTAACGTTTTTAGGTTTCATCACTGAGGTTTATAAAGATAAGTGCAAGTGGATATACAGGTGCACACATACACACACGCACACGCGCGTTTTACATGACAATGACATATATACGTGCATACATGTGTTAATCACCAGGAACAAATGTACATTGATTTATTGACATATATATTGGCACAGATGAAAGATACAAGATAAATGCACACGACACGTAAGTTTGTGTCGGGGACACACACACACACACACACACACACACACACACACACACACACACACACACACACACACACAAAAACAAACAAACAAACAAACATGTAAAAAAATATATTACAAGAACATTTTCTGGCTTTATGTAATAATACCCACCCCCACAAAAAATGTACATAAAATTGCATCATGTTTTTGTGTAAAAGAGCATGAAAATTTAAGTGCCCAGACTCGAATAATAATAATTTTCATTTGCAATTTAATTTTGATTAGAACTTCGCTTTTTTCTTTTACTTTGAATATCCCTAAGCCTAAGGCTTCCTTCCACTATCCCTCCCTACGCATACCCTACTGTGACGAAAGCTAGGGCTCCTATATACTCAGCAATCTTGCGTATGAAAAGATTGACACATATCTACCTAAGATAAACTTGAAATCACTGTAGTACACACTTCTCGAGGTATGTACGTGTGTTTTTTTTCAGCCCTACTTTATTTGCTATCAACACCATTGCGATTATGTGTTTTGTCTTTCATTATGAATTCTTTTCTTTTCTTTTTTGTGTTTCGATTAAGTAAATGATCTATATTGGTAAAAAAAACAAAAAAAACTGTTCCCATTATTTTTCGTTTATTTGTTACCATTATCATTTTTTTTTTTTTTAAAAAGTATTTTTACGAAATGTTGTTAATTAATTGCAAGTTGTATATTGGAATTTATTTTTTTTTTTTGTTCTTAATTTTTTAAAAGTTCTTTTCGACTTGTTTTCTTAATTTGTTTGCACTTACCAATTTTTATTTGCATGTGAATATTTTCTTTTCAAAAATACCCCAACTTCTATACCTTACCTTCAAGTCCCAAAAAATTTACGCATCCACAACCCACGTATCCATCTGAACACAACCCAGTTCACTCACCAGTAACATTATGGCCTATGTTCATATTATTATTATTATTATTATTATTATTATTATTATTATTATTTCCTGGACGTTTTTGTTATTCGTCCAATTTAAATATTGCTATGTTTCGAGGGATTGGTTGCTAAAGTTCATTTACTCTGGTGGAATAATCAATTTTGGACTATGATGTAAAAAGCCACACCTTAAAATTATATGTACCTCTCTTATAAAGCTATTAACAAGCAAACAAGCTAGGATTGTTTTTCCGTCATCAAAATTCTTCCACCTTCCCATTTACAATGAATTACAAGTGGTAAGGTTTTGGCCACTAACGCAACAAAGGCCGGTATCCTCACAGGATCTATCTCTCTCACACACACACACACACACACACACACACACACACACACACACACACACACACACACACACACACACACACACACACATTATATATATATATATATATATATATATATATATATATATATATATATATATATATAATGCATGTTGTCACGCGCATACGCTGCGCTGGGTACAGGGTGGGCGTGTATGCGTATTAAATAAGTGTGCGCATAGAGTTTGCTTAGCTAATCGTCACTCCACCCTAGCCTGCTTTCTTTTTTTTTTCCTTTGCCGGCAACTTTAACACAATCGCGCATCGCCCAACGCGCATGCGCGCGAATTCATTCATACGCGCGCGCACACACACACGGTTCAGATTGCGAGCAATGCATCGAACCATAGGTGTGCATGTGTAACGCATATGCATACACGCCGGCTCACGTGCTCTCACTTTTGCACCCTCGGTCCCACCCTTCTCCTTTTTCCTCCTCCTCCTTCTTCTTCTTCCCGGTCCCTTTATTTTTCATTCAGTGGATCCCGTGACTAGATATTTCTAGGGCTCTGCATGTGAACAAACGTATTGCAAAGAAAGCAGGTATTCTTTCTTTCCCTCTTTTTCTTTCTCTCTTGCTATTACACATGACCAATGTAATCATACAGTGAATGCCTTTGCGGAAAGGGTCTTCCTTACAGAAGCACGTGTTTATAATGATTAATAATGTAATTATTGATAATATTGTTAATATTGTAATTATTGCCTATCGTACTGTTTCTACAGAACAAAAGTTAATAATGTTATTGATTTAATTAATTACTATTATTTTTTTTAATTCTTACTGATCTTTTTTGAAATCAACATTATTTCTCTTGAGTAAATTGTACTGTTTTATTATTGCCATTTATCCATTGTTATGACTAAAATTTTATTATTACTTTTATTATTTTGTTTGTATTTACAAAGTATTACTAAATGTGCTTAAAAACTGTGTTCCAATTATAGCTTGAGATGCCACTTGTCTGCTCAATAAGAAAAACAGGTATTTAATAATAATAATAATAATAATAATAATAATAATAATAATAATAGCTCTACTTTTCAGTTTTATACAATCAATATTAACTTCCTTGAATGATTGCATAGTATTCAAAGGCCGACTTCGGTGCACACATGCATCCAAAATCGAGATTGACTAAGTTTAAACTTTAACTTGGATTAAGGCCACAAACGTGGTCTTCTGCTAAGTGCTAATCTAACTCAATGAGAATAGAATTCAGTGCGTAGTATTAGTATTAGTAGTAGTAGTAATAATAATAATAATAATAATAATACTTTACTAGACAAGCTTCTTAACCATTGCACTACAGCAAGTCGATGTTCATCCAGTGTGTAGAGATTAAAAAACATGCCTTAAAGAATGCTTAGGATGACAGAGCAGAATTAAAAGCTGCTTTGACCGATTCCCAAAGCTAATGTAATCTCGTAACCCGAATACATTTAATTATATAATAATAATAAAGAGCATGATAGAAATAATTAAATAATAATATTAATTCGAAACTGATAAATATTAAGACTTAGCTCAAGAACAGTGATTTCGCTAATAATCATTGAAGAACCCTTTTTTAAAAGTGAGTAGAGAAATGTGAGGGAGTGTTGAAACTTTACCGACCATACAACTAAAAGGTCAATAAGAATACCAATGTGAATTGACTATTTACGACAGTTGGTGGCACCAGATGCCTCTGCTGTGAAAAACGGGTAATAATAGTAATTGGTGCTATTTCTCAATTTTGTTTGTTAATCCTATTTATTTTCAGAGATATTTTATACTTATAAATAATCATTTTGACAGCAGTTGTAGAAGTGATCCTAAAAATAGCTACATGACTCTTTAAATACGAATGCTTAACTTATATCGTAAAAGACTCAAATAGATACTGCAATTAGAACTAAAAAGCACAACTGCCATGATTAATGTTTACCATATAAATAATTCTTGAATTGTTATTATCTGAGCGATTTTGTTTAGAAATAATATTGCTACTAACTAGCTACTGTTCAGTACTGCTATTATAATTGCACTATTTATAATTACTATTTTCATTGAAATTAATTTCGGAACTGAAGATAAAATACTTTTAGCGGCTCTTACATAATAACCACTATCATCGTCATAGTAAAAAGAATGATAAGGAGGGCCGTTTTTGCTTACACACCAACTTTGTGATCATTTCTTTTATTATTCTTCCATCATTGTATCAGTATTGATTTGAGAGGATTTTGTTTGATAAAAGGCTTCATAGTAGCACGAGTCTCCTTGGCCCTCCGGCTCCTTTCACTGTTCTCTGAATAGTTTACACTCTAGTTACACGATTTCAATAATTACAGGTAGAATTGTATTTCTTACGTCTCCTTTACTTGAAGAAATTTCTTGAATGAGGGAGTGATATTATTATTATTGTTAACTAA